GCAGGGACATCTTCTGCTAGATCAGGTTGCTGAAAGTCCCGTCCAGCTTGACCTTGAACACTTCCAATGATGAGCCATCCACAACTTCTCTGGACAACCTGTTCTAGTGTCTCATCACTGGCATCATAAAACCCTTCTTCATTGTATCCAATCTGAATATACTGTCCTTCATAGATACTGATCCTTTTAAATTTGCCTTTTAAGAGCTGGATCTTTTTCTATCAGCATGCTGATACTCTGAATTAAAACAATTTTTTTTAACTTAAGATATGAATTTGAGAGTTCCAGATTCCAGAGAAGATATATAGGGAAGAACCATCTGCGCAATCCAAAAGTAATAAACAGATGCTAGGTAGGATTAGCTGTAAGAAGGGGAAATCAACATTTGATGAGCAAAATTTCAGGTATTTAAACTCATCTCTAATTTCCTTGCTTATGCCCTGTGAGGAAATGTGAAAAGGAGCCTGTTTGTAAATCATGATTAAGAATTTATTTTTCCAAATATGCCCCAGTTATAAAAGCAAAGGTTTTGAGACACCTGAATTTCTCTTCTGTTGGTGTCACTAGGTGCTCAGGGCTAAAGTGAATTATTCTTTCCATGTCTTAGAATCATGTTGTGGGGGAAAACCAGACAGGAACTGGGAGGAAATTATATTGTATGTCTGCAAGTCAGGGTTACCTATGCTGTGTTTGGGACAGATGTTTGGAGGGTTTTGAAAAGAGGTTATATAATGTTAGAAATTTCAAAAGCCACGTACAAGCTCATGTTAAACTGCGAGAGAAAGAACAGGGAGAGATATTTGAAAGCATTTTCCAGAGCGTAGTACAGGTTCAAAGGGGGAACGAGATAAATCAGGCTCACCAGTGACAAGCTCTGGGGGCCATGAGGGTGTTTGAGGGATGGTGTGTTGGTGACGGCTTTCGCTGTGCTCCATGACGTGCTGGAGTATGCTGGGGCACATCTGAAATGTCTGTACACTAGTGCAGGCAGTGCATAAAAACTGCAGTTTATGCATACAGCTCATCGTTTAGCTGGGGTAAAAAGTGTCTGAACGAACAGTTTAGATCCAAATGTACTTAAAAAGCAAAGCTAGGTGTGATGCAGAAAGATAAATAAATTTTCTTTTGCCAAAACAGATATGGTCCTAATAATATTTGTCCATAATATTCATACATTCATACTTTTAAAAAAAATAATCTGTTGTGAAATATATCAGTTCCTTTCAGGGATTCCTAAAGTGAGAGATGTTCATGCTGTTTATAATACTAACACTCCCTCAGTATTTACCTTACCCACAGTGTGGTAAGGTGTAGAGCACCTCTGCAAATTTCAAAAGACTTGTTAGTGTGTGTACTTTGGTTAAGGCTGTTTGTCTTCATGCTTGAAAAAGAACATCATGTCACAGCTGCTAGAATTAGAAACGGAACAGGAATAATATCGGGGGCTATTAAGAAAAGGGAAACAGAGTCATCGGTATAGTTGAAGACAGCATGTAGTTATGGCTTGAAGTAACCCCTTTACTCCTCCCTAAACTACATTTAGATACTAAGAAAACAGTTCTGATGAACATGGGAATAATCCTCTAAAAGAGTTGTAATAATCTCAAACTGTGAGCAAAACCAGTCAAACATAACGAATTGTGTTTTGCTCTGAAATATGCATCCCAGCCTACGCGGGCCTTGGTAGAGGATTGCAGCAATGGCCATTATTTTATGTGGTATGGATATAATTTTTTTTTTTCCCTCTTTCCAAAAAATGGTGGTTTTCAGTGTCAAGAGCCATGGTCATTGAGAACATCCTTTAGGCTTGTTTGGCTTCATCCTTGAGTCTGGGCAAGGGAAGAGGTGATTCGGTTTGAGCTGGGGTTCTCTTTTGGCAAACTTACTGTGAAGACACATAAATCAAAACTTTTATTGTGCTTTTATTATTTTAATTTACTATTCATGTTGTCTTATGTTTCCAGATCACAAAATTCGTGCAAGACAGACACAGAGCAAGAAGGAATCGGCTTAGGAAGGATCAGCTTAAGAAACTTCCTGTACATAAATTTAAGAAAGGCAAGTGGATCATTCTTCATCAAACTAATTAGATTCCATCGGTTTTAACACTAAAAAACCTGTAATTTGAGGGGCTTTGTAGTTTTGGAGATAATTTTGAGTATGCTTGAAATAGATAGTAGAGTTTGGAATGAAAACACACAAAAAGTTTGACTTGACCGGTTCTCACTGAAATAGAGGAGTTCTAACGTTTCTTTAATGGAAGCAGAGCAGATGCTGTATGCGGACTGTGGCTGAGAATGAAAATGTTTTTTAATGTACCACAAAATCAGTACAGAAATTCCACGAAACTTCCTTGTTGCACTCTCATCGACAGTGACCAGAGCAGTCGGTCACTGATGCATTATTTCCATTATTTGGAACTCCGTCCTGCAGTGTCATGTCCAGCTCTGGAGCCCTCAGCCCAGGAAAGACATGGACTGGCTGGAGCAGGTCCGGAGGAGGCCACGAAGGTGCTCAGGGTCTGGAGCACCTCCCTGTGAGGACAGGCTGAGAGAGTTGGGGCTGTTCAGCCTGGGGAAGAGAAGGCCCCGGGGAGACCTTACAGCGACCTTCCAGGACTTAAAGGGGGCTACAGGAAAGGTGGGGAGGGACTCTTGATCAGGGAAGGTAGTGACAGAACAAGGGGCAACAGTTTCAAACTGAAAGAGGGGAGATTTAGTAGATTAGCTGTTAGGAAGAAGTTCTTCCCTCTGAGGCCTGGGTGATCTTTAAGGTCCCTTCCAAACCAAACCACCCTGTGATTCTATGATTATTTGGCTGGAAACTGATGAATACTAGTGTCGCGTAAGTTACCTGACATTGCAGAAACTATAAAAGCAAAACTATATTGTAGGTATAATTTACCTGCTTTTATAGAGGAGTGGCCCTTTCATTCAATCACAATACTTCTCTGAGGGCAACAGCGATTAAAATTTAATGCCAAAATACTTGCTGTTGTGGTTCTTTGTAGTGATTAATTTTATGCAAGATCTAATGACACGGTAGGAAATAAAGCTGTAGTAAGTTACCTTACTCAATGAGAAAGGAAAGCTGCCTTGAGTCTTTCTCTGTTTAGTCTACTCCTTAAAAGCAGAAAAAAATTTGCTACTTTTCTTCTCCATTTTGTTTTTTAAATGTATTACCATTTAACCATCTGATTGTTCGTTCATACAAGCAATTGCGACGTATGGGAAGAAAAGGTAGAGAAAGTACTTCATTGAAACGGTTAATTACTACCTAACACGTGTCAATAGAGAATATATTTATGGCAGCGCAAAGACCATGTTAGGGGATATGCCTGGATTCAAGGACAGAACCGCTCGCTTACTTCTGCCCTTGATAAAGCCAACCTGCATTATTAATGACATTGCTCACTTTGTGCGAGGCAGATGTTCAATTTGAGCGGATAGAGTATTTGTGCAATGTTAGTCAGCCTCACAAAGAGGTGAAAAAAAAAAAAAAAGAAAACCAAAGTGTTTTCCTCTGCAGGGTTGACTGAACCTTGCTATAATGACCTATTGGTGTGGATTTAAAATTCACTCCAAAAATTATCTTAAGCCAATACAGCTAATTTTAATTTTGTTTCCATTATTGATTGCCTGTGAAATCTAATTAGTATTAAAATACAAAGTAAATTATGTTGTACTTTAAAGAGGAATTTGCAAGGAAAAAGTTGCTTCAAGAGAGTCGACGTCTCTTTCTGTTAGCTGTGTGCATCTGTAATAACTATCTCAGAATTACAAGGCTAAGTAGCCAATGTATGAAAATACTTCATTGCTGTGTTCCTCGTTCTCCTTCCTCTTTGCTTTTGCTGAATCTTACATGATGGGAATAGTTTGGAGCTCAAACAAAGTAAACCTGGCTGTAAATATCCAGGTATCCATTCAGTGGCAGAAAAACAGAATAAAAAGCCTGTTTTTCCAACCGGGATTTCAGTTTCTTTAAGTGAATGATCACTTTGGTTCTACTGCCGTGAAATGAATCCCTTACGTTGCTTTAAGTCTTTTTACTAAAAGGACAAAATTTGGCCCAGCACTTGCAGTACGTTACCTTTGGCAATTACAATAAAAATATATTGCTTCATGCTTCTTTGTGAAAGGTAGGATTTCTCAAGACATTGCAAAATGCATTCAGTTCAGTCTTCCTGATGATATATCCAAATGATCTACCTTTTGCTTTGGAAGGATAGGTGGAAGTGACTCCTGTGGACTGTAATCCTGGTTTGGGGAATGCTGGATTTTCTTTTGTCTTTGGTGTAGTCTTAAAAATGTGCTCGTATTGCAACAGACGGAAACGCTGGTCAAATGCTGAAGCTAGGACACTGTAGGCACTGGTTCTTCTCTCTCTTGCCCTGCTTTTTGAATCGTGATTCACTGTCTAGTAAATGGTTTCACTGTACTGTGAAAGGGTTTTTAAGGGAAAGCTGGCTTTAGTGGATTTCTGGAGTTTAATAGGTTGACAGGCAAACAATGATGTAATGAAGACAATTGTTCTGTAGGGTGATTGCACTGTGACACACCTCAAGAATTGTCGACACAGAAAATATGTGAATCATCTCGAAATAGGATTTGAGGCAAATACCACTGTAATGCGTGGGAATTTTTTTACTAATTCCAGTAGACTTTAGATCAGGCACTTAGCATTTCTGTAACGAGTAGAGAATGCAGTAACAAAAGATGTGGCATTGACTGTCTCTGCAAAGGCCCGACCAACAAGCCTTGCCTTTGAATAATTCCACAGAATGCAATGTACGCTATATGATAATCTCTTTTCTGCACTGAAAGAGTTTTGGGGCTGTTGTTGTGTTTGGTCGTACAAAAGTCTGGGAGTTGGTATCTTCAGTATGATGTCTTTATAACAATGGTGAACACAGCAAAAGAGACAAATCCATATAGTATACCTGTAATTTAATCATCATTGGATCTCAATATTCTGAAGAATAATAGCTTAGGAAAAATACAGGTTAGAAATTTTGTGAATTGGTACATATTGTAGAGTTTATTTTCAGAAATATGTAGTATTATTTCCAAGATAGCTTAACTTTACACTAAAACAGAATCTAGGCCAAGACTGAAAAGAATTTTGGATCTTAACAGCAGTGAAATTACAGTGTAACCTCTCATTCCTGTAGAAAGTAAAATGTTGTAAATTTAGTGAAGATAGAATGCTGTGAAAGAGAGATGTGTGGGCATAGTATTAAGAAATTAGAAATGAATAAAGCAGGCTTTTTCTACATTGAGTGTCAAAAGTTAGTCCTAAACGAGTGGTTAGATACCCGATAAAGAATCCAGAATTTGGAGTTGCTACATCCACAAGACTTCTAAAAGCGGAGCTGTTCGGTTATATGTTCTGAGCGTAAAAGAAGAGCTCACCTTTAGACAGCTTTGAAATGCCGTGTGTATGCGTGGAAGAAAGCCCAACATATGTGACAATTAATAAGCTGTAAGAGTACGTGTCATTTTAAGCAAATACATATTTTTATAATGCGTATTGAAGTTTTGTATACATATCTTTATGTGCAGATTGATACATGTGATTGAGCAATAGTGGGAAATAAATGTGTATCAGTGCCTTTTAAAAATCTACTCCAGAGCAAGTGCCGTTCTGCTGTTCACTGTGTGTTCCTAAATTGATTTTTTTTTTTACCTGCAGATGGGGTTATAACTGATCTAATTGCTGTCCATTACTGACCCATCTGCTTGACTGCACAGTACAGTTACAGTCTAATAGAGAAAACAAGTCTTAAGGTCTGCCGAAGTCTTGGCAATTTTATTTTTGCATTTTTCATTGTTCACAAGTATGCATCGATGTGAATGGGTAATTCCGTGTTTGAGAATAGTGGGGGGGGGGGTTATTTATATGTGCCAAGTAGTTAGAAGATAATTTTGCTTACTAAGGGCTTTGCGTACATGGTTTATTTAAACAAGATACTTTATTTTGCAGCAGTTTCCATACTTTTTTCCCCAATTTTTTTAGTGCTTCTGAGCCAGCTTCTAGATTACAGCAACAGGTATTTGAGGAAAAGATGTCTGCAAGTGTCCCTTTTAAAAATTCTGTTCTTCGAGGGGCCTGTAGCCACGGGGGTGAAGCCAACTTGGGGACTAGTCACGGAGGCTCCAGGGCTCAGGGGGAAATGGTGCCCGGCTCGGCGCCCAGCAGGACTGGCATCCTGGTCCTGGCTGGGCGGCGGGAGCCGGGCCTGGCCGGGGCGATGGCCGGTCGGAGGAGCGCAGGAGGTGGGCTGCGGGCACGGGGCGAGGGCCCCTTGCAGAGCACTGCCGCGAGCGGCGGGGGCTGGGCAGGCCGGGGGAGTCGGGAGCACTTCTGCCGCGGTTCGCCAGCGTGCTGCTGGCGGGTCGGTGGCCTCCACGGTTGAGAACGTCAGCGTCTGCCTTGGGGAGGAAACGTTGTCCGTAGTTACCTGGCCTACAAGTGGATGGGGATGCTTTACTGCTGTGTCATTTTTCTGAGGGTGCTGCTGTTCCTTTGCCAGGGCATGTCTTAGTGAGACAAGCCGGCTCAGGAATGGTGCGCTGTTGTTTTTCGGGAGTTTCTTACACATTTTGAGTGACTAGTGGGGGAAAAAGACAGCTATATTATTTGAATGTTGTTTTTTTTCTCTGAGATAGGATGCCCTTGACAGTACTGACTGATGGTTCACGTTTTTTGTTGAACGTGTTGTTAGTGTGCTGATTATAAATGATCCATAAACATGGTTTGACTAATAAAAACAATGGAGAGAAGGAATGTCATAGCAAAAGAGGAAGTAACTTTTTTAAAAAGCTGTAGCTGAAACACCCTGCTGTGTTACGTTGGGTGACAACTCGTACTGCAGTGATGTAGGTCTGGCAGTGAGGGACTCCGCTTAATCTTTCTGACTTTTCCTACCTGCCCATGGGGTGTTTCTCTCTCCTGCTTTCCCTTTATCTTCTCCTGTTATTCTATAGTAACTATCAGGAAAACTGTTTGGAAGTGGCTCTCATGTCCCCTGTGTTTATTTTCTGACATGCCAAACAGCA